CCTCGCTATCCACATAATTGAAAAATTGCAACCTTCATCCAAACATCATCGCTCTCCCTCCTGCTTTGAATTCCTCCACTGAGAACTTATTTTGTTCGTCTCCTGCACTAGAATGTAAGTTCCACAGGCACAGAGATCTTCACTACTAGATTTTAAGCACCTACTTGGGCATCTGGCATATAATAGGTGGTCAGTAAATATTTGTTGAATCAATCAAAGAATACACTTTTCAGAAAGACAATTTTTTTTAAAAAGGAGATCCTACTGATCAAATGAAAATTTGCTTATTGTTCCTAGAAATGTGAGACTGTTTCAGAACCCCACTTTCCCTATGCCTGCCTTAGAAGGCCCCCCGGCACCCAGAAAGAAGTGATGTGACGTTGTGAATTCAATCAGGAACCAGGGAGTCACCACTACCAATCCTTCTTTGGGCTCTGAGCTCCTTCTCTGGACTCCTGGCTCCCGAAGGAAGGGGGCTGGTCTGCTCCTTTGGTTTCTCCTCCTGAGCACCGAAGTCCCATACAACCACAAAAATGACATCTTTCTGTCCAAGAAATGGGAACCCCACCAGGCTTCAATATGCATGCACACCAGGTTTCTCTCCAGCGTTTCCACAGAAAATCCCCAGAGTCACACCTAAACTGAGGAGAAATGCTACTTTGTGGGCATGTTAGGATAGGGGTAGGAGGGAGATGGACACTAAATAGACAAATACATATGGTCACATTTTCCTGGTCCTTTGCATTTCTGCTTTTTAAGTGTGAGGGAGTAAAATGGGTACTTTAGCAACCCTGTGGTCTGATGTGCCCCTGGGAACATGTGTTTTGTTGTGTTTATGTTTAGTGTGTTGTTTAGTGACTTGTGTGAGCTAATCCTGCAGCTTTGCTCTCACACAATCTGTTGACACAGGTGTCTCTGCCCAGGTTTCTTTCTTTCTGATTTCCAAAACTGATTGAATAGGATTTTCAACAGGACCAACATAGTTTGGGATGCAGCTATGCCTGGTCAGAGGTGATGCTTAAATACCTCAAAGCAGGAGGGTTCATCTGTAGAGAGGCTGCACTGACTCCATTTTGCCCCAGATACCTCTGATTGACAGTGTCTTGGTAGAAAATGCAGGCCTTGCAACATCCCCTCAAGATAAAAGCATGAGGTCCTGTGAGGACAAGAAGCAAAGAAGTTATATAATCTAAACATGCACAACGAGTTTCTTTGTTCTTTATCTCAATAAAAGCTGCTTGCTTACGCAGACCGCAGACCGGATGGCAGCCACTTTGCTGACCCTTGGTGTGTGCATTCCTTTATTTTTCCTTTGCTTGCAGAACCCCTACATTCACCAAGCTGGGGGGACTGTGGTGTAGCTCAGTGGTAGAGTACTTGCCTTGCACAAGTGAGGCCCTGGGTTTAATCCCCAGCATTGCCAGAAAAGGGGATAAGAGGAAGGGGCTTGGAATGGCATTCAAAACTCAGACAGTTTACAGGATTCCCTCTGATTTTTACACTCCTGGATTTTCTTGTGTCTCCTCTGCATCTGTGCAATGCTTTATTTTTAGTTAGGGATGCACATATGACTGGGACTCTTATTAGATTCTCCTGAATTTGAAGTCTTGTACACTGCATCGTTAGTGTGTGTGAGGGGAAACTCACCCAAACCCACGATGGCTATGTCGTCCTTAGGTCTCCCTGCTAAATTTCCAGGAGGCTTACACAGTTGTTTATCCAACCAGTGTGACCACCCAGGTAGCTGTGTGTTGACATTCCCTGCCTGGTCTTCCCCTTGGCTACGTACTCCAGGCTGGTCCTGAGCTATGTAACTCAGGTTGGCTAGAACTCATGTTGTTCTTTCTGCCTCAGCTTCCCAAGTGCCAGGATTACGTGTTAGCCACCACACCTGGATAACTTTTTCCAACGTTACCTTTGCTTTTTGGAGACAGGATTTGACAAGCTCCTCACTCTGCCATTCTGGAAACCACAATACAATCCTGTTTGTTTAAAACCTCCTTCCTAAGTTTTATTCCAAGTCTTCCTTCCTGTCCTCAGAGCAGACTAGCTTGGCTGTCCTAGAAACTTCCTTCTCTTCCATCCACTCTTTTACACTTCTGGGGAGGAAGGGGGGAGGGGAAAAGGGACACATTTTTTTCTCTGCTAGTTAAGATTATAGTCTCTGTGGATTGCTCCGTTTCTTAGGCAAATCCAGCTGGGCCTATAACTTCTGGCTGGGTACGCACCTAAGGAAGTCTACATGGGAATTCTTTTTATTTCATGGTTTTTGGTTTTTTTACCTTAGACAGGGTCTCACCATGTAGTGCTGGCTGACCTTGAACTTCCTATGGAGCCCAGCTGGCCTCAAACTCATGGCAATCCTCCTGTCTCAGTCTCCCAAATGCTGGGATTACAGGCATGCACCACCATGTCCAGCACGTGGGAATTCTTTTTTTTGTTTTTGTTTTTGTTTTGCGGTACCAGGGATCGAACTCACAACCTCATGCTTGTCAGGCAGGCGTTTATGCTTATGCCACTGAGCTAAATCCCTAGCCCTTGTGGGAATTCTTAAAACACTCTTTTCAGAAGCCCATGTGCCATCAACATCTTTTTAAACGTGGAAGATTTGACTTTTCTTCAACTTTAATGTTTTTATCCACTCCTTCAATGGTTAAGAACATTGTTTCTCAGTCTCCCTGAACTAAGTTTGAATCCTATAGGTTCTATATATTTTCTGTGTGAAGAGAACAAGAAATTAAATCTCAATGAACCTCTTTGCCTTCATCTGTTAGATGAGGATATGTAGCAGTCAAATTCCACTAGATAAGATGATGACTATGTAAGAACTAATGCTAAATCTTAGAGGTTTCTAATAGCAACAGTTCATTTCTCCCCATGTGTCATGTTAGATGTGGGCTGCTCCACATCTCTTTCCTTTCAGGACCCATCTGAGATTTACATTCTTATGACAGGACAAAGTCTAAGACAGCTGGTAGAACTACATCATGGCTCTAATGCTCCTGCCTAGATGTGACAAGATACTTCTGCTCATATCCCATTGGCCAAAAGCAGGCCATAAAATCAAGTATGAATGACTTAGTGAAGCTTGAAAGAAAATTTGTCCAGGATGCAGTCACATGACTGCAGTCACATGGCAACCAGTGATGGTATCTCATCCTTAACAGAAAGAGCAACTTAAAATTGAGAGTAATTTCACCTACTACAGGTTAATAACAATACCTTCCTTAATGGCACTGTGAATGAAGTGAAGCACATCCAATGCTTAACAGTATTCTGCACTTAATAAGGACTCAGTAAACGTTGGATACCATTATTAGCTGGTGTTGTAACTATTCCCAATATTTAATTTGGAGACAGTAACACATTGAATCTAAGAGGCATGGGATTTGAAGTAATGCGGACCCCTTAGTGAGGCAGGTGGTCTTAGATCTAAATTCCTTAACCTCTTTGAGCCTTAACTTTCTCAATCTCAAAGTTGGGATACTGGAGAACACATTGTAGGCTTGTCGTAGGGTCAAATTAGCCTGGTCCTGTTCACGTAGTAAAAGCTGAGTATTTGGTAAATTAACGAATACAGATCTGCTAAGGATGAACTTGACACATTATAGAGCAGGCAATTATTAATATTAATAAATTGGCACAAAAATAAACTGATAGTCTGTCGTAGGCCTATATAACTTGTGAGACCCTCTGCTAGTTTAAAGACAGTCTGTAAAGTTCTGACACCTCAAAGCAAGATAAGGTGGCAACTGAGGACTTGCAAATTCTATCTTAGTAACTGCAGTTAGCAGACAATCAGGTTACTAGTTAACCCTGATCTGTTCCTGATTTTCCAAAAATGCGTTGTTCCTCAATTCCAGAACCTTGTCAGCATCAGCAGTTCATCCCCACAGCTTCCTGCAGCCCACCAGTACACCCCCTAGTCAAGCCGTACACCTAATAAAAGCCAAAGACCTCATGCCTCATGGTCCTATTCTGTCTCTGGGCTTTGATCATCCTGGCACTCCTTGTAACTAAGATATACGTTTTGTCTGTATTTTATTCTGTAGTCATACCTCTGAGCGGGAGAATAGTAGTCTTAGGCCAGGGTCCTGATACAGATTTTAGACTAATTTCACAGATTCTATGAACTGTATACAGTCCATAACTACAAGACTGCTGTCTGGAAAACCTTTTCCATCTTTTAAATTTCAGCTCAATTATCTCCTTTGTAGAAAGACCTCCTATTAGAATCTGATTTAAAATACTTCTCCCATCTGCAGTCACGTCTTCTGTCTTTTTTTTTTTTTTTATCTTTATGGCTCTGGCAATCCTCTGAAATGGTCCTGTTCACTCATTTGGTTTATATACTGTCACTAGATTGTAAACACCATGAAAATTGGAATCATCTTTTGTGTATTTTCGCTTCCTTCGGTGAATATCGGCATCGTTAGTGGTAAAACTGTAGAGAAGCAAGGTTAGGTCTGGCTGGTCCAACTCAAGCTTCAAGTCCCTTCCATCGAAGGAGAGTCACGCAATCTTCGTCTCCTACTCTGCCCACAGAGGCTCCCCACTCACTTGTGGGCGTGCCTTCCAATGTTGTGACTGCCACGTGCAGGCCTCGGTCAATTGGAGGCGGGCTACGTCACACGCACGCAGGCTCTATCCCAGCCCAGTCTCCCCGCGGGCGGAAGAGAGCGTGGCCCAGAGCAAGGCCCCCGCAGCTGCCTATGTTACTGCCTGCATTGTTTGCAGGTGGTTAGAGGCTCTCAGTTCCTCACTGTTCAGGCAGCTCAAAGGCCACTCTGTTTTGGGGTCCTTGCTGCCCTTCCACGTCTCCCGGAAGAGGTAGCCGGGCCCCGTCAGTCCTGGAGGTGGCTTACACATCCCGGGCCCTCCCCGGGCCGGCTGCTGCTGGGGCCCGGCCTACGAGGGTGTCGAGACCGCGGTGCAGCCCTCTGGAGTCTTAGGTGAGGCAGCAACGAGGCCCAGAGGCCGAGAAGGGTCCACTTGGGAAGCTAACGGATTTGGAGCGAGTCGCCGGCCTCGGAGGAGACTTGGCTTACCTCATCTTTTCCCGCCCTCGGCTTTGGGGTTTGGAGCTGAGGAAGGAAAGGGAAAGTCCCTTTGGGCTTCAGCCGTTCTTTACTGCCCTGCCTTTCCCAGTCCCTTGTCTAGTGTGAGTTCGCTACAGGCTCCAGAGGTTGGGAGGAGGTGGGTGGGGAGCGCGCGGGGATCTGACAGCCCGACCTCAGCATCGTTTCCCAACAGCCTCATCCCGTCCTCCCTACCGACCCTGGGCCTCTGCGATCTGCAGACCCTCCCCCCCACGCCTCGTTTTCCTGCTTCTGCAGCGCCAGAGGATTCGCTGCGACTTTGAACCTCTTGACATCTGCTCCAAATATTTGTCAATGGGGCGAGTGCCTAGGGCGCATCCTGATACTTAATTAGGTAACCAATGCTAGTGTTTTAAAGCCCTAGTAACTTTAAAATGAGAGGCAAGATACAAAGAATTAATAAACATGTATTTGTTGTTTTCTTAGGAGATAATTTACTCCATCACCAGTACTGCTTATCCGAGAATAATACTTTATAAAGGCCTGTATGACGCTATGTATGCCTGAAAGTGTTTTACCTCCATTGTCATAAGTTTGCATAAACTCTGAAGTACACAGGCACGTGTCACATTTATAAAGAACAGGTTTAAAGAATGAGTTTCTCGGGCTGGGGATTTAGCTCAGCGGCATAAGCGCCTGCCTTGCAAGCAGGCAGTCGTGAGTTCGATCCCTGGTACCGGTAAAAAGGAAAAAGACAAAAAAAAAAAAAAAAAAAAAAAAAGAATGAGTTTCTTCTTGGGGCTGGGAATTTAGCTCAGCAGCATAAGCGCCTGCCTTGCAAGCAGGCAGTCGTGAGTTCGATCCCCGGTACTAATAAAAAAGAAAAAGACAAAAAAAAAAAAAAAAGAGTGAGTGGGAATCATTGGTGAGCGAAGCAGACATGGTGTTTATGTAAATACCCCTGCTTCTCCAGCAGGACGAGGCATGTTTAAAAAACAGCACATGATTGTAAAAATATGAGTGGCTGTGAAGCAAAAGAAAGGGTATGAACCCTAATGGGACCTATTTAGATGAAAAGAACTGTGAAGCAGATGACATTCAAGTGAAAAAAAGACAGTAAGAAAGAGTTAATCATGAAAGAAGCAAAAGTAATGACATGGACATTCAAGAAGTGGTGATTGATTTTTTATAGTGTTCTTTTATATCATGGGAGTCACTTGCTGTGTCATTGCCTTGAATATGTGGTGCTTGAACATGTGTCAGATGGATGGTTATGAAATCATGTTTTTTATTCAGACCTGAGCTTAATGTGTATGTGATAGGCACAATATTTGAATTATTGAAATTACACGTTAGGCATATTATGTGGACCCCTAAATTATCTATAATAGTGCTTAAATTTAACACTAATAGTTTTTGTATTTATTAGAAGGACTTCTCAAATTTCAACACTTCGTTTTGTTTTGTTTTTGTTTTTTGTTTTTTTGAGACAGGGTCTTGTTATGCAGTTCAGGCTGGCCTTGAGCTCACTTTGTAGCCCAGGCTGGTCTCAAACTAACAACGATCCTCCTTCCTCAGCCTCCCAAGTGCTGGGACTACAGGCATAAGCCACCACACCCAGCTAAATTTCAGCACCTTGAAAGGAACTCCAGATAACTGTTTTTGTTTGATTGTCCTGGAGTCTTGCCTTGTATCGTGTGCTATTTGGATGGTGTGTTAATTTGCTAAGGCTTCCATAACAAAGTACCCTAGATTAGCTGCCTTGGACAATAGAAATTTATTTTCTCACATTTGTGAAGTACAAGATCACGGTTGATTCCTCTTGAGGCTTTCCTCCTTGTTTTGCAGGTGGCCACCTTCTCCCTTTTTCCTACCGTCATCTTATCACTTGTATGTCTGTTTTTGTCCAAATACCCCCCCCCCTTCTCTTTTGAGACAGGATCTCACTATGTAGTCAGGCTGGCCCCAAATATGACAACTCTCCAGCCTCAGCCTGTCTTGGGATTACAGATATGCACCAACATACCTGGCTGAAATTCTCTGTTGTAAAACACCAGGTTGTTGGAGTAGGGCCCCTTTAATGACTTTTTTACTGCATTACCTCTTTAGAGAGTTTGTCTCCACAGCCACTTTTTAAGGCCTAAGGCTTTAAACTTCAGTATGAGGTATGACTGAAAAATATGGTGAATGTTTAGATTTTTTTAAAAATGCAGCTTAAAAGAGACACATTGCTATAAATGACCCTCAAAATAAACCCTCCTGATTTCAAACACACTTATCCTGTCATTCTTACTACTTTCTGAAGCAGTTCTGAAAGCCCTCTTTCATGAGTTGCTTTACTTACATTGTCTTGGCTGCTTTGATATCCTGAATCAAGTCAAAACGTTGACCTTTCATGGCCATTTTGGCTTTCAGGAAGAGGCAATTTTGGTGAATAAGGTAAAGGAGGAAAATAGAGGACACAGCAGGATGTTTTCACAAGCCTTCCCTTCTGTTAGATGACATGGGCAGCAATTCCCATGTTTTGATCACACCTTGTAAAGACTCACAAAAGAGGACCTCCAGAACTGCTTCAGAAAGTAGCAAGAACAATGGGATATGTGTGTGAGGAGGAATATTTTAAAGGGGATTAAAAATAATATGTTTTACTTTAATAAGTTTTTTTAATGTAACCATTTAGCATATATTTTCATCACCTACTAAATATGAATTTTAGGGGGAACACAATTCAGCCTGTAACATATCAATCTATTACATTACGATTACTTTTAATTGAAATAGAAAGACAGCCAGCTGTGGTGGCAAACACCTGTAATCGGCACTCACAAGGCTGGGACGTAAGAATCACAAGTTGGAGTTCTGCCTCCGCAGTGTAGTGAGACCCAGTTTCAAAATTAAAAATAAAAGAGGGCTGCGGCTGTAGTTCAGTGATAGAGTACCCCTGGGTTTGTGATCGCCAGTACTGCAATTCAGTAGTGGTTGTAATAACATTGTGGTAGCTGCTAAAATCAGTGCTTACTGTGTGCCAGGCATTTTGAAAAGTGCTTTTTTTTTTCTTCTGTGTTATTAGTCTGAATGAGGTGGGACTTTTGGTAGTCTTAGGTACTTGGAGGCTGAGCCAGGAGGATTACTAGAGCCTGGGAGTTTGAGGCCAGCGTAGGCAATGTAGCAAAACCCTATCTCAAAAAAAAAAAAAAAAAAAAAAAAAAAAAAAAAAAAAAAAAATCTGTAAGGCAAAAGTACCCTTAGATTCCCCGTTTTGTAGCTAAGGTGTCTCAGGTTCAGTGGATAGTTTGCTGAAGGTTACCTAGCTAGTGAGGCGCAAGATTGGAATTTCATCCCAGAGCTATCTCACTCCAGAGTTTGATTTGAACTGTTAAACTCCACTGTTGTGCCACACTGATCATTTGATGTCTTTTTTACAGGTTCACCTCTAGGATTATTTTGCTGCCGTCATGTCTTGGTTGGTTGATCTTGCTGGAAAAGCAGAAGATCTTTTAAACCGAGTAGATCAAGGGGCTGCAACAGCTCTCAGCCGGAAAGAGACCACCACCAGCAGAATTGCTGACTACCCTGAACTGCATCAGCAAAATACAGATTTGACTTATCAGACTGGACCCAAAGCTACTTACATTTCATCAGCAGCTGACAACATTCGAAATCAAAAAGCCACCATCTTGGCTGGCACTGCAAATGTGAAAGTAGGATCTAGGACACCCGGGGAGGCTTCCCATCCTGTTGAAAATGCATCTGTTCCAAGGCCTTCATCTCAGTTTGTTCGAAGGAAAAAATCAGAACCTGATGATGAGCTGCTGTTTGATTTTCTTAATAGTTCACAGAAGGAGCCCACTGGGAGAGTGGAGCTCAAGAAAGAAAAGGGCAAAGCCCCTGTCTTTCCAAGCTCTCGGACATCAAATGTTAGTTCTGTGAACACAGATGTCACCACCGTCAAAGCCAATGAAGAAAATTCTGGAAGCCAAAGCCATGGTAGTTAACCAGTCCCCCACTTGTTTTATAATTAAGCCAATTGGATATATCATGCTAGCTTGTTTTTCACCCACTGTTTTAGAATCTGGACCACTGGTATAAGAGCAGGCCTTCTGCCAAGGTGTGGTATAAAGAGGGGAGGTAGCCTTGAATATCACTGGTGAATATACAGTTGTGGTAGGGACCTTGGAGTATTGTCTGTTGGTAATTTCACCAAGCCCAGCATCTAAGAAATTGTATCAAATTGGAGTCCCTAAAATAATTTAAGGGTGGTTTTTTTTTTTTGTTTTTGTTTTTGTTTTTTTTTTGGTTTGTTTGTTTTTGAGATAGAGTCTTGCTATGTTGTAGATCAGGCTGAGCTTAAACTGTGTAGCCCAGGCTGGCCTTGAACTCTCAAGGATCCTCCTGCCTCAACCTCCTGAGTGCTGGAGTTACAGGCATGCACCACACCTGGCTTTAAAAAAATTTTTTGAAATCTGAAAAGCATGTTATTTTAGATTTGAAACTATTTCAGTTCATTTATTTTACTGAAATTAAAATGATTGAAAGTTATACGCCATATATATTCTGAGTTGAGGAGAGTTGTGTGTGTGTTAAAACCTGTGTCCTCCAGAGGTACAGCTGAGAGACTGTGAAGTTGAATTGTTGAAGGTAGAAATTCAGCCTTCTGGTTTGCAGTTGTTTAATGAGCTGAAATTACCCCTGTAAGCACAGCCACCTATAAACTGAGGGTAACATAGTGGATGTGGCTAATTAAAGTACTTGCTGAGCATTTGAAAATTGCAGTAAACTTTCTAGATTTTTACAGAAGTTTTTTATAGAGTCAGTGATTGGTGGAAATATAGTCTTAAATTTTAAAGTTTCTCTCAGGTTTGGCTGTTAGTAAATAAAATCCGTACAAGACCAAAGTTATATAGAAGCATGGGTATTAGGCTTTTAAAATAGGAGCATCCGGTAGCAGTTGATTATGTTCATACACTCCTAAATTTTCCTCAACTTTTTTTTATTACACATGTACCTGCTGGATGCACAGATAAAGAAGTATCTAGTGGGTAAGGCAGTTATGTAGCCAGGTAATTTACATACAGTAATGAAGTAATTGAAATATTTGTGAGAGTGCTTTGGAAATAGGCAGTAGCTAATTGCCCAAGCTATAGGGGAAGGACTCACAGAGGCTCTTTTTGAGCTAGCTTTTTAAGGATAAGTAGGAGTTTGTCAAATTTTTAAAAAGAGAAGTTCTAGATACTTAAGATTGAAAGCCATGAAAAAATAAAGCCAGCAAAGCAAGTTAGGATCTGTTTGAAGGCTTTTGTATAATACTGTTACCCAGTGTTCTTAGAGATCATTGCTAAAGGTTGCTCTCTGAACAGCTTACATTAGAATCACTGTGTGATGCAATAAAAACTGAATTATCATGACCTCCTCAGACTTCCTGAGTCAGATACTCTGGGGGTGGGGCAGGCCATCTGAATTCTTGTCCCCAAAGCTATTGTTTGGCCAGTGAAGGTTTAAAGCGACTGCCATGTCATGCTAGTAAAAGTCATGCTAAGCCATGTGATGCTAATAGAAGTCTTTAAACCAAGAGTGACTGTGCATTTGAGAAAGCAGCTTGCATTTGAAGAATGGACCTAGGGGAACCTGGTTAGCAGGGAAATGAATTAGAACCAGTTCTAATGCCATTTTGGAGTTATGAAAGTTAAGTTCACTTCTCAGGGGTAAGGTCTCAACCTTAGAACTATTCACATTTAGGGCCAAATAATTCATAGTTGTAGGATGCTCTTCTGTCCTTTGTAAGCTGTTCAGCAACATCCCTGGCATTTTAACCCATTTAGATGTCAATAGCACCCTCAGCACGAATAAAAAGACTAACACAGAATCTAACAAAACTGCGTAAGTGGCCAGATTAGAAAGTGTACATACCGTATGATACCATTCATTAGTTTTAGATACTTAGCCATAGTAGTCAACTTGAGCCAACAGTGCCCTACCAGAAAGTAATATACACCTGGGAACCATGCTGGTATAACAGGGGTGTGTGTGTGTGTGTGTGTGTTTTCCTACAGACGTTGCAAGTAATTCAGATCATGAATCTGAAGGCCAAGAGGATTCTTCAAAAAAAGATGCATCCTCTAATGCTGCTATTCACACTGATCACAACCCGGCATCTGGTGAGAATGGCAACTCTCATGAACTGTCCAACCTCCGACTGGAGAATCAGCTGCTGAGGAATGAAGTTCAGTCTTTAAATCAGGAAATGGCCTCTATACTTCAAAGATCCAAAGAAAGTCAAGAAGGTAAGGTTTTATTTAATTTGTTCTGGATTAGGAATTTAACATTCAAAATCAACGACTTTACATCTAATTAAGTGTAATTTAGGTGAGACTTGTAAAATGGTGTTTTCATAGAAATACAGGACTCAAATTTAAAAACCTGTCATCCTCCTATCAACCCAAAACAGAACATTGACTAGTTTGGTCTTTTTTTTAGCCATTACTAAGTCTAAGAACTGATAGGAATTACAACACACATGTTTGCTGTGTTGATACATTGTTTATTTGTTTTTGTCTTTTGGAGACAGGGTCTAACTTTTGGTTCAGATTGGCCTGGAATTCACTATGTAGCCCAGGCTGGCCCTGAATTTACTGCAGTACTCTTGCCTTGGTCACCCAGGTTCTGGGATTACAGACACGCACCATCACACCTGGCCTATCGAGTTCATTTGATTTATTCTGAACTTTCTCGGGGACTGTTCCATGAACCATAGGTGGGATAAAATAAGGGATCAGTGTTGCTGCTCCATGGAATTCAGTTTAAATAGTGCCCTTGGGAATTAAATAGTGCAGTGAGGTGGCCCCAGAGTAGAAAACCCAGGTTCCTCAGAAATGGTTGATTAAAAGGGAAATAAATAATTTCATGATTAAGCTAGTTACAAGGGAAGATGTGCATGTTATTGTAAGTGACTGAGGAGAAAACAAAAAAGGAAATCCCCGACCTTCTTGGAGCTAATGAGGGGCGTGAGGGGATAGTGGGAAAACTTTTGCCCATAGATGGGAGGAGGCCCAGAAGAGCAGAATAGGAAGGTTGGTTAAGACTGAAAATTTTAGAAAAAAACTTCACTTTGCCAGGACTGACAGAAGTAGTGGAGTTGTTTTTGTTTTGGGGGTATGGTGTGTGTGTGTGTGTGTGTGTGTGTGTGTGTGTGTGTGTAGGACTACAGTTTCAGATGCATAGGAGGGTGTAGAAATGCCATTGTATTCTGAAACAGAGCACTACATTTCCCCTGGCACTGATTTTCTGGGTTAAAAGGACATCTTTTCCAATAGTAAATGAAAGAAACAAATTCTTTACTGTGTTTATGTTTAGGCTTTGTTTTTGCCTTCATTTTGTTTTTCCTGAAGTGCAACTTCGTTTTGGATTTCCATTCTTTTATGTTTCTCCAGCAGAACTCAACAAATTCACTGATGATTTTAATGTCGTTAACACTGCTATCTATCAGTTTGGGCTCCCAAGTGCCTTATAATGTATCTCCAGAAGTAACAACATTGTGGAAGAACAGTTAGCTTCCTGCTTCTTTTCAAACCCATTAACTAATGTGTGAATATTGGCCTTCAAAAATGGGTTTCTCATTTGGGGCAAAAAAAACAAAAAAAGATATTTGTAATTGCCTGGTTTTAGTAAAAACCAAACTCGTAAATGGTCAACAGTCTGTGTGCTGTGAAAAAGATATGTTGGTTTTGCTCATGTAGAGAAATTTCGTGTTTATAGAATTAAACAAAGCAAGAGCAAGAGTTGAAAAATGGAATGCTGACCATTCAAAGAGTGATCGAGTAACTCGAGAACTCCGAGCCCAAGTCGATGACCTGACAGAAGCAGTGGCTGCAAAGGACTCTCAGCTGGCCGTCCTGAAAGTCAGACTCCAGGAAGCTGACCAGCTGCTCAGTACTCGCACGGAAGCACTGGAAGCCCTGCAGAGTGAGAAGTCACGGTTGGTCATTCTGTAATAATAAAAGACATGAGCTGGATTGGTCCTTTCCAGGACAACTGATGATGAACACTGCGCTGCATCCCAGTTTATGAAAATTGATGTGAGGGAAAATGTGGCAATATTGGAAGTGTGTGCACTTCCAATGGATTCATCAGCAGAGTGCAATGGCATATGCCTAAAATCTCAACACTGGGAGGCTAAGGCAGGAGGATTAGAAGTTTGAGTCTAGCTTAGACAGCTTAACAGCTTAGCAAGATCTTGTCTCAATAATAAAAAGCCCTGGGGAGGTAGCTCAGTGCAGAGCCTTGAGTTTAATCCCTTGTACCACCAAACATAATTAATTAAGTAAGTAAATGATTCATTGTTGTATTTGGAGATGCATTGTTAAGAGATGCTGAATTTAAAAGTATTTGAATAATTTAGTTCTTTTAACCTTTGACATGTGATGTGTGCTTATATTTGGAACCCTAAAAATACAGATTACATTCCATTAGAATGGAAAAATATTTTCTAAAGATATTTTAAATAGGTCGTCTTTTTTGTTTGACTAACAGAGATCCTGTAAAGATTATTCTTCCTTATCATTTGTGCAGTATGGAAATCTGTTTTTTGACCCTGCTGTGTTTTCTTTTAGAATAATGCAGGATCACAATGAAGGAAGTAGCCTACAGAATCAAGCTCTGCAAACTCTTCAAGAGAGACTGCACGAAGCAGATGCCACTCTGAAGAGAGAGCAAGAAAGCTACAAACAGATGCAGGTTAGAAGGGAGACAACAGCATTTTGTTGATAGTTGGACCAGGGGGAATGACTATGTGGTGTTTCCTAACACGTTTATTATGAAATTCTGTAGTGCATGTTGGAAAATTCTCTTTCTGTGACAAAAATCAGATATTTGGAAAATTAACTTAATCCTTGCTAAATTTATTTCATTTTACCTGTGAGATGGTTAATATTTATTATAGATACGCAGTTTTCACTTAATTTTGCAACAACCTTAACATTATTTGAACAAATGCTGGTTTGAGGCAGTTTTGCTTAAGCTTTTTCTGATTTCTGTTAACTCTAATTCATTTATTTCAAGAGACAATTGTACATAATATTATTTAGAGTTTTACTCTAAAACAGTTTTTATCCGTAGTTCAGGCTCAGCCCTGTCTGTGCTTTAGAGTTGCCTACAGAAGGGTTTCTGATGCACTCCACTGTATGAGGTAGAACCTGGACTTGGGTAGTTTATTTTTACAGGACTTACAGGCATGTCCAGTGGGTAGCTGGGGTTGCAAACCACTGGTCCAGGAGCTCTTCTCAGCAGGTGAAAACACTTCAGCTGTAAAAGTACATGTCAGGTACTGTACAGTAATGTGTTTTCTTAAATTTAACATGCATTTCATTTAATATAGTGTAAAGTACAGTTTGACCAACCCTGATCTAAAAACTAAACATCAGAAGTGTTCTAATTTTGGAAACTTTTTGTCACAAGTGGAAAATGCCACAGTATAAAGCTTTCTTTTGTGCATAAAATTATTTCAAATACTATATAAAATTACCTTTAAGCTATTTGTATATGAAATACAAATGAATTTTATGTTTAGACTTGGATTCCATCCCCAAATAGCTCATGTACATGAAAGTTTCCCCAAATCTGAACTACTTCTGATCCCAGGCATTTCAGATGAAGTGTTTGCGCCCTTACAGTATTATCATCTTAAACTTGTATTTTTAAAAATGACATACCTTTTTGCATACTGAATTATTAACACATGGTATATTTTACACTTAAGGCACATTTGAGTTCTGACAGTTTTCACTAGGAATGCTTGCTCTATATTTAGATTTCATAAAATTTACAAATGAGCAAGTACATTAATGTACCCCAGTTGTTCTAAACATATTTACAAGTCTTTCTAAGCGTAGGCAGTTACTCAAACAGTGAGAGTTACCACATGACCTAGTAGTCTATACCTACATGGTGTTTATGAAAGAGAATTGAAAATACATGTCCATATAAAAACTTGTGCACAAATATTTATACCAGTATTACTCATAATAGCTCAGTCTATAAGTAATACAAATGTCTGTCAGTTTCTACATAAACACATTGTAGTGTACCCATATAAAGAAACCTTATTCAGCCATAAAATACAGTGGTGGTGATCTGTGCTACAACATGTGTTGATACTTGGATGAACATTGGAAACATTGCATGTTAAAGATGATAGACACAGTAAGCCACATGTTTAATGATTCCATTTGTGTGAAATGTGCAGAATAAATAAATTCACAGAGAAATAAAGTAGATTAATGGCTGCTAGGGTTGAAGAGAGGGGAAAATATGGATCTTTGGGTTGACGAAAATACTCTAGAACTCTATTGTAATGGTTGTACAACTGAGCAAATACACTGAATTATACACCTTAAAGGTGCAAACTTCGTGGGTTGTGAATTATATCTATTTGAGGGGTGGGGGTGGGAATCAAACTCATAGCCTTGTGCTTGCCAGACAGGCACTTATGCCACTGAGCTAAATCCCTATATCCTATTATTGAAAAAAAAATCCAAACAGAATTATTAGTTGTTTCAATGTAAGTTAATTATAATAAGTAAATGAAAAATTCCTCAGCTGCCTTAGCCACATCTGACATGTTCAGTTGACATTCGCAGCAGACCTTTTGCTCCTTCTCTAAACAAGATAATCTTGGATCAGAAGTTTGTGAGATTCACTTATTGCATGCAGCTATAGAAGCTTTCTGATTGAGAATAAAGGTAACAGTTCTCAGCCTAGTACTGACAAGCAGTGTGTTTTTAGTGTGCCTTAAAGGCTTCTTAAACTAAAAATATTAGTTTCTGAGAAGTTTCTTTAAAAAAATACATTCATAAAGCCTAGTCTTGCAAATTGCAATTCAATTTGGGATTAAGATAACCTCTGGAAAAGGCCTTTGTTTTCTCCAGCAAATGCTGTAGTTGATTTTGATGCATTGCCGTGTTTCCACGCCACAGTTTTAGATTGTCTACTCTTTGTTTACCTCCTAATAAATGAAGAGTTTTTTTTATTATGTTGTTGTTCTGAGCCAGTACATCCCATAAGATGTCAGAATTAATGATTACAAAATATACTTCAAAGTTAAAGATATGTATGAAATAATGATTTGTCATAGAATGAGTTTGCTACACGCCTTAATAAAATGGAAATGGAACGGCAAAACTTGGCAGAAGCAGTTACTCTGGCAGAAAGAAAATACTCCGACGAGAAGAAAAGAACTGATGAACTGCAGCAGCAAGTCAAGCTACACAAGTTGAACTGGGAGTCTTCTAAGCAGGAATTAATTGACTACAAGCAGAAGGCCACTAGAATCCTCCAGGTAAGCATGAAGTATCCACTTTCGGATGTGAAGATGTGTTGGTTACCTGACACAGTGGCTAACTTTGTAGCTATTGTGAAATGGCTGCTGTTTGGCTGGATTGCCTGGCTGTACTTAAAAAGCTTATAAAAAGGATAAAATCCCTCCTGGTCCTACCAAATTCTTACGTAAAACTGTTCTGCCACCTCTTAGTTCAGATTATTAATATATCACCTTAATCACTGTGAGGTGTTAATGTTTGTTGCTCAGCAGCCCTGTTGAATTTTTCAGAGTAAGTGATCTAGATCTTCTCCAGCTCTCAGAATCATCTCACCATGCTTGCTTTCTCCTCTGGAATCTCTAAGGTGACCTGACCTTCTTCTTTACTAATTTTAGGAGTCCTTTCTAAGAAAAAACTTAATCTTGTTTCAGATTTGTTTGTTTGTTTTTAGCACCTTGAGCTGTTTTCCTGCCTTCTCTTCTTTCAATGCAAGATGTATCAGAATTATTATGTACCTGCTATCTTCTTTAGTACTGTTTAACTTTAACTCCTTCGTGTAATTTCTGTCTCTGCTGCTTTGCTGACAAAAAGTATATAATGTAAAAAGCATATAAAGTATGTAGATCCTTTGTCCTTCTTGTGTCCATTCCCTGTGATTTGATAGCATATTTGGCACTGTTCCTTTCCCACCTTCTTAAAAGTCCTGCCTTCTACCACCCTGGCGCTCTTTTTGTCCTATACTGTTTCCGTCTTTCTGGGGCCTGTCCCCATCTACACAGAATAAGAATCTTCTTAAGTTTTGTCCTACGCCCTCTTTCATTATTCTTTCTTACTTGCATGATCAGGTACTCACTCCGCTTCTGCTTGTCACCTCTGTGAGATTTCAATCTCCAGCTCACCTCCTAACCTGTTTCTAGCTGCCTACTGTACAAGCATCGGATGTCCCAACCCTAATCCTTCTGCATTTTCCTTTCCTGGTTTATATTTTTGCTACCCAGTAGAAAAGCCTAAATGTACACAGTCGTTTACAAAAAAAATCCCAAAACCAAACACAAAACTAAAACAGGGTCATTTTATACTCTACCTTTTTCCTTTAGCTTCAGTCTTCAGGCTGTGAGCTCACTTTTTATTCTACCCCTGTGAAACACCATGCCCAACTCCTCCAGACTCCGCTTCCTAAGTATTCATGTTTTCACTCTCAATTTGTTAATTCATTGAGAAGATATGTATTGAGCGTCTCACTCTTCACTAGACACCAGGGTGGGTGATGAGACACAAAGCTCAAGAGATGTATCCTCTTCTTGTAAGGGAACATTCAGCTTAGTGGGAAGAAACCAAAGTAATTGATGAAGTTAATAATGCACAGTAGGAACTCAGAGAAAAGGCCATCAGAATGAGCCTGGGATGTCAGGCATGACTGCTCTGAGGAGCTGAAGCCTGAAGAATGAGTAGGAAGACTTCTGCTGGGGAGGAGAGTTCAGATAGCAGCGCATGTGTATGGGAGAGAATTCAGATAGAACAGCCTGTGCCAGAGTCAGGGGATCTGGGGAACTCATCATGCTTGGGGGAGCTAGTTCCACCTACTGCAGCATAAAATATAAGAGATTAAGATGCAGGAGATAAAACCAAATTGGCAGCAGGTGCCAATGGTAGAAGAAGTTCTTGTTCATCTGTAGGTGGCAGGATGTGGGGATGGATTTAAGTAGTATGAATCCAGGTGCAGTGAAGAGGCTTGGCAAGAACTGGACCCCATTGTTCATCCTGGGACCCAGAATAGTGCCTACTATCCAAGAAATTACTGACTGCATTGGAGGGATAAGGGATGGGCAGGGAGGTGATGAAGAGGTGATTATAAGAAGTAACGAGAACCTTATCTAAGTTTGTGGAAATGAGGATGGTGAATGGGGCAGCTAACGCGGGAAGTAAAAGATACGAGACTTAGAGATTTACCTGAAGGGGAGAGGAAGAAGTAAAAGGTATGTAGGATGACTGGCTTTCTGGTTTGCGTATCTGAATGTTGTTTCCCTGTGCTATCAAAGAGAAAAGCAGGAAGGACAGCAGGTTAGGGTGGAAAGAGATTGTAACAAGTAATGGTGAGTTTTCAAAGTTGATGTGACATTGATGTGAAAATATCAGGCAGGTAATTAGAAATACAGGCCAGGAGCACAGCAGAGAATGTAGGCCTTAGCCATGAGCAGGCAGCATGTAAGTTAGGCACATGAGTGAGATTAATTGAGAACAGTGTGTAGCCTGAAGAGGTAGAGAGCACGGGCTGAGGGCTAGAGGCGTCCCCTTATAGAAGAAGCCTGCACAGGCAGGACCTGAGCTGGGGAGTGCCCAGACATTGGAACCAGGGAGAGACTAAGGGCTTCCATTGAAGGAAGCCCAGCAAGAGGAAGCTTCCAGTAGGGGTGACAGGCAGTGGGGGAAACAGGCAGGCACACAGTGGCTTTGTTATGATGAGGACTGGGTAGGGTCTTGGCCTGGCACTGGGAGTCTCCCCGTAACCTTGGAAGAGGGGCTCTAGGATGCACTGGAGCTGAGGATGTGAAGACAGAGGCAGCTTGACTGTGGACTGAGGGATAGTAGCGACCTGGGAGTGAGAGGGCGGGTTTGGGTTTTGTGATATTTCAAAAAACTCAATATAAATGATCGTGTTAATTACAGAAAATTTGAGAAAGAGGAAAAAACTGGAAGAAGGAAATAGAATGGAAATATGAATATTATTCTACTATGTAGAGAAAGGTTTTTTCTTCCCAGTACTGGGGATTGAACCCAGGGTCTTCACACTAAGCTACATCCCTAACCCTTTTAAAATTTTGGACGGGGTCTTGCTGACTTGCACAAGTGGCTTCAGACTTACAGTCCTCCTGCCTTAGCCTCCCAAAGTGTTGGGATTGCAAGCTCATAGTACCATGGCGGGCAGGAGGTTCTTCCTGATGGAGGAGAGTAGGTTTATGGCACAGTTAGGGTGAAGCTGGTGCTCTAGAACTGACACCGTATAAACTGGTCTTCACATGTCAGATGTCTGTCTCCCCCTCAGCTCATCCCCCATGCCAGGAGTCTACTGGCTTTTTCTGTAGTGAGTCATATTTTAAAATTGTAAAGCCTGTGAACTGTATGTGATCTCTATCACACATTTTTTGTTTCTATTTTTGTAGTCCTTTAAAATGCAAAAGCCTTTGTTAGCTTGTAGGCTGTTAAAACACAGGCCACCGTTCGTGAACATCTGCTTCCCAGCACTGCCAGGTTAACCATCACGAGATGTGTCGCTGGTCACTTTGCTCCTAAACCCACCTTTTGGTAATTTGTTTCAGCCCGTGTAAAGTGAAAAGATTCTAGCCTGGCATCTGGAGCCCTGTACAAATTGGTCCCACCAGTACTATCTGAGCTGTATCTCCCAGTGCTTTCTCATAGGTCCTCTGTGCCTCTGCATTTCTATGATTTGCCCTGGGCTTCCCTTTAAAATCTTAACCATATTTCAAAAAGATTTTTTTTTTTTTTTTTTTTTTTTTTTGGTACCAGGAGTCAAACTCAGGACCTTGCGAGGCAGGCACTTGTACCACTGAGCTATATCCCCAGCCTCTTAACCATGTTTGAAGGCCGGCAGAAATGCTGTTGTTTAGGTGAAGCCTTCTCTTCCCCAGAAGTTGCTTCTCTTGCCCAGAACTCTGCAAGTAGTCTGGCCATATCCCAGTCTTGGGTTTTTTGCTTTCTACTAGATAATTTCTACTTGTAATTTCCCTTTCAGCTTATGAAACTGAGTAAGAAACATTATCTTTATTACACAGAAAATTCGGCACAAACCAAATCCTTTGCAGGCGCTCTATAAATGTGTGTTGAGTGGCATATGATGGGGGGGGGGGGGAAGCATGTGAAGGAAATATGAGAAAAACCTTGTTTATAAGCAATTTTCAACTGTTAACACAATTGTGGAGACTAAAACCTAAGGACACAATACAGCAAGGATCCGTTGCATTTTTACCCACAAGATTTGATCATCTGTGGACTTTTATTTGAGGGAGATAATAATTGGGATGTTTCCATAGTGGGTTAGTTTCTGTATGGTGAGATGATATTTAATGTGCTGTACAAGCTTGCTGGGGATATAGCTCAGTGTTAAAGATTGTGTACTTGAGTTTGATCTCCAACACCATCAAGCAACAAAGATACTCAGTATTCAAGGTAATGTTTGCTTTGCTTAAACATATTTCTTTTTTATAATAGTCTAAAGAAAAATTGATTAACAGCTTAAAGGAAGGCTCTGGTTTTGAAGGCTTGGATAGTAGTGCTACTACTAGTATGGAGCTAGAAGAACTTCGCCATGAGAAGGAGATGCAGAGGGAAGAAATCCAGAAGCTGATGGGCCAGATACATCAGCTCAGGTCTGAGCTACAGGTAAGGCTCTCTGTGCTTCAGCTTTCCGTGCAACCTTTTATCCCTCATGGTATTGTTTTGAGCAGTAACGAGTTCTGTATTTGAGCGGGGAAAGGATATGCCTGAAATAATGTGTGAAGTTTCTGCTGGAAAATTAGTTACCATGCGGAAGTGAGTCTCATGCAACAGATTTTTCCACTGACTGTAACTCTCAAGAGAGTAACAAACACAGATCCTGATACTTAGCAAGTGCTACATGACTCTGGCTTCAGGTCACAGCAGGGAACCAGACCACGTCTTTAAATTTATGGGTCTTACATTTGTCTTAAAGACAGATTAGATTTGGGCTTGTAACACTGAGATGTTTTCTCTTAATAAAATAGGCTCAGCAAAGGTCTTTTTAGTTTTAGGTGAGTTTATACATAATTATTATATTTAAAAGTAAAATTGAGCTATTTATTTCCTCATGCCTCTTGCCTTAGCCTCCTGAGTTCTAGGATTGCAGGCATGTATGCCTGTAATTCAGGCAATACGCCTGCTAGACCGTGTGTTCTTAATCATTCTGCATTCTGACTGCCTCCAAAGAATATGCCTGATTTAGTCATACTGATGATAAAGATTAATTTGCCTTCTGCTAATCCCTAAACTGAAAAGTAGAGAAAAATAACGATAATTACTGCTTTTTTTCCTCTAAATCCACAAAGCTATGAATTTAAGGAGCTGTACTGTGATTGTCTGGAAGTATTGTTAATCTTAGTTCTTCCAAAAAAAAATTGAAATCAAGAGTTTGTGGAGATGAGACATGAGTATAAAAGAGAATGTACAAAAAGACAGGATGCAAAATTAAGATGCTGACCCAGTCTCCCACTGTACTATGTTAGTGGACTTAATGTTTAACTCATGGGAAAAATACCAAAACCTCGAGCTCTGTTCTTTGCACCGCTAGACATAACAAGAAGTGATTGAGCTTGAAGAAGTAAGGTTTAGAAATATGGGAAGGTGGGATATCAGGTAATAGTTGTAAAGCTAAAAGGAGGAAATAGTAGGCTAATGCCAGGTGGTACAGCATACAAAAAAAGTTTTAATACTGTTCGCCTGCTGCTCACACACACTAACTGTATCCTGGTCACGGGTAACTAGTGCGGTGAAGTCCTTTTTGGTGTTGTATTTCTCCTTTTTTGCAGTCGCTACCTTTTGAATGGAGATGTGAATCTCCCCGAGATTCCCTGTCTGTGCATACTTGGGGACGCCAACAGTATATCTGTGGTGGCAGCTGTAGCACCTGGTTCACTCCACTGACTGCGGGCCACGCTGTATAAGGAACATCGGGGTCCTTGCTTGTCATAGACTGAATCCAGGCCTCACTCACCTTTGTCCTTCTCATTCCTGCTGAACTCAGTCAGGGTCAGCTGTTGGGCTGGCTTTAGCTCAAGCAGTTACTTCCTCATGCTGGGCTTTTCATCCGTCGGGAAATGTTGAGCTCAGCTGTTATGGCTTTCACATGTGCAGTTCTTCTTTTTAGGACATGGAGGCTCAGCAGGTTAGTGAAGCAGAATCAGCAAGAGAACAGTTACAAGACCTGCAAGACCAAATAGCCAGGCAGAAGGTATCAAAACAAGAGCTAGAGACAGAACTGGACCGACTGAAGCAGGTAAGATTTTGAGATGCATGATTATGGGGAAGATGCTGCCCTCTGGCAGTCACGTGAGGACACCTGCCTGGGAAGCAAGGGCCTGGGCCCAGAGCAGCTGTGGAAGGAAGATGGGGCCTAGAGGTCTCTCCGACCTTACCACTCACCTTCTTAAGTTTTTGTTTGTTTGTTTAAGCACAAAGGAGAAGCAAAAATGGGTATGTGACTTACCTAACATTCTAAAATTAATCAGAGAATTGAATAGAACTCATAATGCCTGTCACAAGGAACGTAATTCTGCTACTCTATGTCTATTTTATATATCTTTGCAGAGAGTTAGAAGCATACATATTGGTCAGTTGATTGTCATATTTTATTACATTTGTACTTTCTGTGAACTACAGTGAATATTTAACAGAAATACAGTGTTAGTGCCATATTAACTGCTCTTCTGTTTGGGAAAAAATGGGTATATGGACCACTCTTAAAAATCACATTTGAAATTTTATTTTGTTCAGTTAGCAGTTATTTCTCACTAAGCCAAATTATTTTACATTAATGTATTTATATAATAGTTTCTGTGTTATCATCCATATTAAACATGTTTATAGCCACATTTTTGAAGTGTTCCTATAATATTAATAATATCTTACGTCTACTAAGTAACTGCATTATCGTAGGCATCAGTACTATTCATTTTACAGGAGAAAAAACTATAATTCTGTTACACATAAAACATTTCCAGTTTGGTAAATTTAAATATACCAAGCTTCTTTGTTATTATTTTTTCATATGTATTTAAGTATTTTTATTAGATTTATTATGAAAGTAGTACTTAAAATCTGTTTCCTGAGTAGTAAGAGGAAACTCACCAAGGTCTGTCATAGGCTGGTTTTGACAACTTAATTACACAAGTAGGACTAATTAAAATTAACCTCAGCAATTGCAGAAAAGTCATAGTTATATAATTAAGATTCTGTCCTTTCAGAAATTGCACTTTATTTAAGGATCTGTTATACATTAAACGGTAGCAGTTTGATGAACATGTTCTTAGTGAGCTAATGGTCATTTTCTCATGGAAGACAGCTTTACTGCATCCACTCCCCACTGCCCTTTTAAAATGGGGGAGTCGAGTCAGAAAATGAGCTGAACATAGCTATAGGCTTTTTACTAAAGTAATCAATGTTCTAGATGTGTAAAGTATTTAATGTTAGGTTTGAATGGCCTCCTTATTAATTTACGTAGTCTCAGCCTTGAATTTTGTGATAGCCTAGAGCCTGAAGGAAATTTGGAAGGCCTCCTTGTATTTGTGATTCTCCTGTCCTGATCACCTCTCTAGCTGTCTCCTGATTGGCCTGAATCTGCATTAGTTTCAGTCTGCAAAATGAACAGGTTGGGGTAACAGTCTGTGCTTTCACAGTCTGATTCTGTTGCCTGCCCCTCCTGCACCCCTATGCAGTTTGCATGGAAAAGCATCATGCTTTTAAAAGTTCTTGATAATGTTCATTGCCCTGTCCTCCCTGCTCCACATTATCTTTCAGTGAGTTAGATATGTGTTTGGATTGGCCTGTGCTCTGCTCTCAGGTTCTGACCTGATTGAGTATCCAGTGTGCAAACCAACAGTGCATCAGTGCAGTTGTGAGAGGAGCTGGTGTTTCTTTGGTGTCCCATCTCTCTTATCAGTGCTGAGCAAAACAGATATTGCCTGTAAGCACATGAAAAGCTGCTTGCTCAGCCTTGTTAATCTTGGGGAAATGTGAGTTGACACCACAGTGTGATACCAGTACATATTGACTACTTATGATGACTCAATACCAAAGGTTAGCAGGGATAGGAAAACTGGAACTCTTTCTTATTGCTGGTGGGAATACAGATATTATTACATTTGTATGAATGTAGCTGTTTTGAAAACAGTTCAGGAAAAAATTTGACAGGTTCTTTTGAATTAGATACACACTAACCATATGATCCAGCAGTTCTGTTAATGAAAATATGATACATAAAAACTTGTGCCTGGATAATCATAGTAGCTTTATTTAGAAAAGCGTAAAACCAGAAAGAATTTAAATATCCATCAGTGATGGAATATCCATGCAGTAAAATACTACTCACTAGTTAAAAGGAATGAACTATTGATATAAGCTACACACAGAGGACTCTCAGAAACATGTTAAATAAACTTATCCACTGTAAGTTTCCATTTGTTGGACTTTGTAGAAAATATAAAACTGATCACAGGAATTGAATGTAGAATACGTAAGAGAACTTCTTGAGGCAGTAGATATGGTCTGTATCATAGTTGTGATAATGGCTAACAATTGTCAAAATATAAATGATTTTATTCTTAAAATTTATGAATTTTGTGTATATCTCCATAAAGCTGATTTTATATATTGACTGATAATATAAGAAAACAATTAAACCTGGGCATGGTAGTGCATGACTAGAATCCCAGCACTCCTCAGGGGAGGCTGAGGCAAAAGGATCACAGCAAGTTCAAGGCCAGCCTGAACTACATATTAAGACCCTGTCTCCAACAAACAAACCAACCGTGCCTCCAAAAAAAGTGAGAGGCTAAATTGATTACCAGCTTGATGGTGCATGTTTTTTAAAATTTTCTTCTGTAGGTTGATTTTTTTTCCCTTAACATTTCTACCACTTAGTGAGATACCAAAATCATATTTTGTTATTCTTACATGTGTTAAGCAACAACATGGATCTTCAGTTTTATTTTTGAATAATCATGAAATATTCTTATATTTTTTAAAACCATAATGTGTAATTGTTACAATATAGTGTCACTTTTTTAGTTAATCTTGTGTTACTGACCAGTCTGTTTTTGTTGTTTTCTAAATTTTTAGTTTCTAAAGATCCTGCTATAAATATTTTTAAAATTTAAGTCTTTGACATTTTCCTTAAATTAATTTTCTAGAAAGTGAATTACTAGTTAAAAGCTATAATTTTTTTTGTACTAAGGATTAAACACAGGGCCTTTGTAATGAGCTATATCCCTGAGCCATTAATGTGTGTGTGTGTGTGTGTGTGTGTGTGTGTGTGTGTAAAGGACTGTGTTCATGAGAAAAGAGCGAGGACACAGAAGGTAAACTGAGACTCAGCTTTTGCTGTGGCCCTCACCAAAGAATATCATCTGAGGTAATATATGTGTTATCTGATGTCCAGCAGCTGAGCAAGCTCAGCGTGCCTGCCTGCACAGGCACAAAGGTAGGACACGGAAATGTAACTGCATCTCCACCCCATGTCAAAGTGTGGTTTACATATGCTTATGCTTCTCTCCAGCATAACCAGCTTTACTGGATAAAGGAGCTTCTTTCCAGCAACTCAATCAAATACCTTAAATTTATCACCTGGAAAAAACACACTTGTGACACCAGCAGGAGAAAGCAGAACGTGGCTGCCCATTCCCCAGGCAGAGAGTGGTCTTGAAGAAACCTCCCGCACAGGGCGAGGCTCTTGCAGGCATTCTTCAGCTGCTGAGGGCCAGGTGGTTCCTTGAAGTGCCCTGTGCCTTACAGCTTAGCTTACCTTATCTTTCTCATTTCTGCTGCATCAGAGATTCCTTTCTCTCAGAAAAGGGAGGAGGGGATGCACTTACAGCACAATCTCCTTTTGCTTTTGTTGGGAGGGCCAGGGGTGGTGGGAATAGAACCCAGGGCCTTGTGCATACTGGGCAATGCTCTACAGTGAGCTCTGTCTCAAGGCCAGAATCTTTGAAAAATAATAATGGCAATGTGTGAGTGACCAGGAGCTGTGTCTCCCTCTTAGAGATCTACAGTTTAAAACACAAAGCTTAAAATCTCAGTTCTCTAAACAGGTAGGACTTCAGGCAAAATAATTGAGGAACAAAAAATAAAAGCTGGATGTCAATGCACCCAGAAGTGAGGGATAACTTTCCAGGTAGCTCACACAGAGGTTTATGTGACTCCCTCAAGCCACTTCTGCTCTGCGTGGCTGTCTCCCCTTCTGTAATCACCAACCACTCAGAAGCTTTATGGAAACACCAGTGGTAGTGGAGGCCCTGTCCCTCCTCTCCCCCAGCAAGGGAGGAGTCTTGGGAGGGTGAGAAACCCTCCCAAGGGCACACCAGGACAGACAGAGTAAGTAACAGGCTTGCGTTAAACACTGCTGCATTACTGATCACAGTAATGGGCAGTAAGTTACCGTTTTTTACAAAAATACACAATAAAGTCTTAAGAAATTGACTTGCGTTGAAGCTTAATGATTCTTATAGTAATAGATTACAATAAAACTCTAGTTGTTGGCTAAGTTCCATTGTTTTTAATTCTCTTTGACTTTTTCTCCTGGTCTTCTGTTATGCTTTCTGCAGGTTGCTTCTTTAATCCCTTCATTTTCCTGGCTTATAGTTTGCTTTGATCTTGTTTCTGCATATGAATCCTTCCATAAGTTGCACCAAAAGCATGTTGGCACTTTTTTTCTTCTTTTTTGACTCAAGAGCTTTTGGCATTTCCTTAGATAACTTACAGAGGTCATTTGAAGCCAGGTGTGTCCGTCTCAGAACCAGATCCAGTGAAGGTCCTATGTTCTAATTCAATCCGTGGTGTTCTGCAACTGGATTTCTTCAAGAGCAACTTACAGCTGCAAGAGTAAACGTTACCCTTCGGAGCAGTGGCGTGCAGAACATACTCTAACCCAGCCCGGCGTGTGTTTACTACCGTGGGGCCTCTGAAATAATCAGTAAGAAGACATTTAGTCTTCTGTAGTCTTCTATTACATCAGGATCATCACTAGCAATTGTTAACATGGGTTCTGTTCCCTCAGGACATTTACTGTTCATAATATCTTTTAGAGACACAAATTTCTCAATATCCAATTCAGTCATGTCTAGCACATAGTAGCCATATACCCAGTAACCTATTGCTGGGTTATTGGGATGCTTCTTACTCAATCCAAATATGAACGAAGAGCAAGCTAACTTACTTGAAAAGAATTCCAGTGAGGTCTGCTCCTCAAATGGTCTTGTAGCGGTTTTGTTTTGTAGAGTACTTGGTATGGTTTTTCAGTGCATGCACGTCTTTCAGGACTTGTGTCACTGTTGCATTTGCATTTCCCCCCTTAATCAGCATGGCACTTTTAATATTTTCACTTAAGTTTCGGTTCTGTCTTCTCCAGGAATCTCTTGGCCCTTTTTGTTTTGGGGTTTAGAACTTGGTCCAAGACGCCCATAGCTATCACAGCCTCAGTGTAGCCAGTACACATGCGCTGTGTGGACACGTGAGAAAAGCCCTTTTGCTAGAGCAGCGGGAACTGGAAACTTGCTTTTTGTTTTTTGAGACTGGGTTTCACCATGCAGTCAGATTGGCCTTGAATTCACTGTGTGCCCTAGCCTGGCCTCGAATTTGTAGAGGTCTTTCTGCCTCAGCCACCCATCCTGGATTCTGGGGTTATAGGCGTATACAACCATGCCTGTACGGCTAAAAGCTGTGCCCTGCTAAAAGCTCCAAATCTTTTTTTTTTAAAATGTGGTGCTGGGGACGATCTCACAACCTCGCACCGGCCAGGTAGGCACACTTACGCTGCTGAGCTAAATCCCCGGCCCAAAGCTCCACATCTTTTAAGGCTTACGATATGATTTACCAATTATGTTTTGTAAGAGTTTTTATGATGATAAAATTTTTCTTTGCATCCTTACCATAGATGTAATGAAAATGTATTTGTTTTATTAGTAGGTTATATATGCAAATTTACTACTTAATTTGCATTTCTCTGGTTATTACTGAGAGAAGTTTTCACTGTTTGTTAATAGAAATGATATTGCTAGGGGAAAGGTACATTGTATTTGTGATTTTGACAGATTTTGGTAGGTTGCTTTCCATGCAGCTTGTGTCAGTTGATAATCTAGCAAAAGAATATTAAAGTTACTTCCCCCATAGAGTGGGAAAATGCAGTGTGTTATGTTATTAAAATGTTGGATTTTGCCAGTGCTGCCTGAAAAGTGCTATCTCAGGGCAATTTAAACTTCGAATTCTTTAAGAGTAAAGCTCACTATCTTCTCAGAGCATGTAAGGGCATTTGTATTTCCTTCTCCAACAAATATTTTATTGCTATCTGTCAGTCTTCTGACGAATCACTTTGTGGGAGTTTGAGGTATTGTGTAGATTAACCTTTTGTCTATGATATGAATTGTAAGAAATTTTCCCCAGTTTGTCAGTTATCTTAGTTTGTATGGGCTTTTACTCCATTTTGTGTCATGTGGAAGTTTGATTTTGATGCTATCAGCTTTATTATTTTCTTCTACTAAGGCTTCTAGATTTTTAGTCACGGTATCCCTGTCTCTGAAATTATTTAAAAATTCATCTGTGTAGTTTTCTTCTGGAGTTTTTATGGTTTCACTTTACATATAATTCTGTGACCTATTAGTAGCTCATTTCTGGCGTGTGAGGTAAAGTATGGATCCAGCCTTTACCTTCTCCCATCTGATTCCACCTAGGTGTCTTTGTACCATTTTTTAAAATAGTTTGTCTGGAGAGGCCACCTTTATTGTGTCCTAAAAGGCTCTAAGTATCGAGATCTCTTTCTGGGCTTGCACTGTCTTCCTTTGGTCAGTTTGGCAATTTACTCACCAATACCACATTGCTTTTCATTTGTGCCTTTTTATGTTTTAATACCTTTATAACTTGTTCCCCTGTTGAGCATTTTCCTGGGTGTTCTCTCTTGCTATTTTCCATACAAACTCTGGAATGGCCTTGTGTAGATTTTTTTTAAAACTACAATTTTTTAAGAATAGCAATCATTTCAAACTTATTAGTTAATTCGAGGAAACTGGACATCTTTGTGATATATTCTTATCCAAGAACATGGTTTGACTCTTTTCAATAGTTTCACATAGGGGGCTGGGGATTTAGCTCAGCGGCATAAGTACCTGCCTTGCAAGCAAAGCAGGCGGTCATGAGTTCGATCCCTGGTACCGATAAAAAGGAAAAAGACAAAAAAAAAAGAAAAAAAAATAGTTTCACATAGAAAAAAAAAGTTTTACATAGCTTATACAGTTTGGAAATGTTTTGAAAGTTTAAATGTTTAAAATTAAATGTATTGTCTTATACTGAATTTTTGTTACTTTATTTTCTTATGAACTTTGCTCACATTTTTAAGTTAGCTTTTAGTTTGTTTGTTTACTGGGACTTACATTTTTAGCTGATTTTTATAATACAAAATTGTTATTAACAGCCTGATATTTGAAAATTGTATTGCTAACAGTATCAATCTCCATCTCAGACATAGTGAATATAATCTCTTGCGCTGTCATTTTTGTTACTGTATACTTGAGATTTGTAAAGAGATAGCCTATTCTTCATACCTGCTGGATAATATTTCATGGCATTTTCTAGTCCTCTATCAAGAGGTTTCCTTTTTTTTTTTTTTTTGTAATCGGTACCAGGGATCGAACTCACAACTGTCTGCTTGCAAGGCAGGTGCTTATGCCACTGAGCTAAATCCCTAGCCCCTAGGTGTCCTTTTTTTGAGACAGGAATTTTCTGTGTAGTCTTTGCTGACCTTGAACTCACAGCGATCCTCCTGCCACTGCCTCCTAGCATTGGGATTCCAGGCGTGCACTACCACACCTGGCATCTCCTAACATATTTCTGAGCCTGGGTCACAACATGTTGCTGAAGTGTTGACTTCACCAGACCCTCCACATCTCTTCGTTTATTCATTCAGTGTGTACTTAGCACATACTGATTGCGTGTGTACTTAGGGTGGCCGCATTCTAGGCACTGAGAATGGAAGAGAGAGCACTGAATTAGCTTTTATTTATGCCTGCTGCCCTTTGTAGGAATTCCACTACATAGAAGATGATCTATATCGAACAAAGAACACACTGCAAAGCAGAATTAAAGATCGAGAGGAAGAAATTCAGAAACTCAGAAATCAGGTAAGAATCTGCATTTACAGCTTAATGAAAAGATGTCGTTGTAAAGCTACGTTTTTAAGAAGGATGCAGTAACATCCTCTGTGTTTTCTCCAAATTCTAAGTTATGTTCAAGTTGGTTCAGAACTTTCTTGGAAGCCATGTGTTTCTCCTTACGCTGTGCATTATGTCTTTCATTCAGTCTCCCTGTAATTGTACTTGTCCTTTCCTCCATGTTCAGATTGATGTAATGTGTAATGATTAATTGTTAAAATAATGTGTATAAAAATTTACAAATTCTTTAGTTTTAGTTAATGATCTAATTGAAACCATGAAGAATCAAACAATTTTTGGTTTAAATTACTTGAACAGAAGTCCATAACGTTTGGGGGGTGGTGCTGAGGATTGAACTCATGTCCTTGTGCTTGCCAGGCAGCCTCTTGTGCCACTGAGCTAAATCCCTGGCACAAAAGTCCATAATTTAAAACCTTGTATGTACCTTTATTTTTGTAAGACTTGTGCACAGCTAACTGATGTGAGTGTTCCTTCTTCCCCTGCCTGCATTCGTGAAATGCTAACAAATAGTGGCATGACTTTCCAGCAGAGTGTTAGCGAGATGAAAGCGAGAAAAGCCCCTAACTGGTGTCATCCTGAGATAAGCATTTCTGTATTTACTACATATTTATCGGGTACCTGTGGTGTCTGAAATACTTGAATGTTTGTCTGAAACTTTGTTTTGTTTTTGTTGCTGAACTGAAAGCCTGAGCTATAGCTTCAGCTTTGTGCTATTTTTATAAATTAAGAATTAATCATAGAAGGATTTCTTTTAAAAATTGTTCATTTACTTAGAACAAAACAAAACAAACTTTCGTCTACTGCAAGGAAGTTAATTTATACAATTTAAGGTGCTGAGAGAACATGGCGGACAGACAACAGCAACTTCTGAACGCTCTCTAAAGGCTCGGCTCAGAGGCCAGAAATGATGCGGACTAAGGAGATACGAACCAGTAGAGATATGCTCTGCTGACTCAGGAACGAACTGGGCTGAGAGAATCCAACTTGGAATACAGTCCTGGCGCTAAAATAGGAACAGAAAAATCTCGGTGTGGAGGCTCGACTCCGCGCCAGTAGAAACCGCGGTTTGGATTTCCCGCCGCCCGGCGGCCGGCTACCTCCACAGCGGCTCGGCAAGGAGAGACGCGACCGCCGAGCTCTGGGAACGGGAGTCTGGGAAAGGAGTTCCCGCGCCATCGGAAACCGAGGTTTGGATTTCCCGCCGCCCGGCGGCCGGCTACCTCCATAGTGGCTCGGCAAGGAGAGACGCGCAGAGGCTTGGGAACGGGAGTCTGCGAACGGAGTCGGAAACACGACGGACAGGGAGGAAGGCTGACTGGTGGCGAGGTGAGCGAGGAACTGACTCCCTACCGCAGTTTGACTCCAGCGGAGGTTTTTCTGGGCGCGGGCAGTCCTGTAAGAGCAGGGCGCGGTGGCAACTGCAGCCGCACATTTCCCTCTCGGATGGGATTGGTGAAAGGTGCCTGGCCGGAGGGACGCTGCTCGCGGACTCCCTAGGCTGGCCTAACCCAGATCCCAGAGCCTGACGGTGGCCCGGAGGAGCGACCGACTCCCGCGTAGGCTGCCTCCTCCGCAACTCCCTGGGGCGCAGCGGTGAGCGGGAACAACTAGCCAGCGCAATTTGATCAAGCTGTGGCTGACAGGCAGGGAAGCCGGGCCTCCTGTGTAAGATTACATTTTATAAGGAACAGAAAATATGGGGAAGGGAAGCAACAAAAAAGGCTCCTCGACCCCCAATCCTGAGAATCAGGCAATAGTGGACACTGCACCAATATACATTAAGCGCCATTTAGAGAGCCTCATAGACCAATTCAGGAATGAAGTTATCAATGACCTGAAGCTAGAAGTATGCAGAATAGTTAGAGAAATGCTAAGCACCACCCAGGAAAAAGCAGATGGTGGAATGGAAGAACAGAAAAAGAGGGGAGAATTGCTTGATGGAGAAAACAGAGAAAGCATTGAGTATGTGAAGCAGGTGCAAAGGGACTATCAAGAAATTAAGAAGTCTACCCAAGACTGGCATAACAGCTTGAAAGAAACTAAGGACAGACTATCTGAATTGGAGGGCAGACTTGAAACATGGGAGAATGAAATGAAAAACTTCTTAAAAATAACAAAGAAACACACAGCAATAATACAAAGACAAGAAGATGATAAGAGGAGCCATAACTTAAGGATTAAGAACATAAAAGAAGAAGTAGGGACACAAACAAGTGAACTACAAAAGCTACTCACAGAAATAATCCAGGAGAATTTTCCTAATTTAGCAAAAGGTAAAGATACTCAAATGTATGAGGCATACAGGACCCCAGCTACCTACAACCCTAACAGAGAAACACCCAGGCATATAATAATAAAAATTCCAGAAATTCAATACAAGAACAGAATATTAAAAGCTGTAAGAGACAAGAAACAGATCACTTACAAGGGAAGACCCATCAGAATTACAGCAGATTTCTCTTCACAAACCATCAAATCACGAAGAGCATGGGGAGAAATAATTCAAGCTTTGAAAGATAATAATCTACAGCCAAGATTGAGATATCCTGCACAACTGTCCCTGGAAATTGATGGAAAAACGAGGTGCTTCCAGGATAAAGAGGAACTGGGGGAATTTGCAACCACCAATTCAACCCTACAGAAAGTATTGCAGGATATTCTAAAAAAAGAAAAATACAAAGAACCCAGAAATAGGGGCGGGGAGGCCACAACGAATGGAGCAGAGAACAAAATGAAGAAGACAAACTGACAGCTACTGACAGAAAAAGAGCTCAACAGAAATGAGACAGAAGATTGGATGATAGGAACAGCTTTTTTTGGAGAAAATGACATCTTAATAGGTAATGCTGATTTAGTACCATCTTGTTTTGAAGTCTCATCTAGCTTTTGTTCTTCTGTCTCCAATGGTCTAAACAGGTTGTATCTTATTGGATTTTGTTATGTACGATAGTATAAGAAAAAACCTTTTAAAGACAAGGAGATTATACAGAGACCATTGTTCATTTTCTGTTAGTCGATTCTAAATACTCTGTAATGCTGTCATTCTCTTAAATGGATTTACATTGTTTTGATATACTTAATGCTACAGTATATGAAGTTGTACTCAAGGACTTCAGGGAGGGAGTCAATATGGTAACTATTTTTGGGTCAGGATTAGCTGGTGGTGAAACACTATTCTGCTTAAATGGTTATGTTTTGATCTGCCCTGTTTCGCTGTTATGCCCTCCTTTTTCTCAATCTCCACTCCATTATTTACTTTTTTATTTTTATCCATTTAATTAAAGGGAAAAATATAGCAGGATATAATATAGTAACCCACTTTGACTTTCTATTATCTCGATTTGAAGCCCTGTATTACTCTCACCATCTTGTTTTTGACTGAGGTTCCTATATTCTGTTTTGCTGGATAGTATCAGGTTCGAAAGTTTAGGCATCAGCTGAGAAGATAATGAGATTCATTATAACGCCCATTCTCGTTGACTTTTATCTACTTTTGAAGACCTACAATATCTCCAATGTTTTGGTTTTGTCGGTTTTATTCTTTACGGTTTTGTTCAATTGTATTACAACTAATGATATAGGCAATTCTATTAGAAATAGCGGGAGGCATTATGGTAACCATTGTTGATCACCTTGTATTATGTTTTTATATTATCTATTATGTCCACCCTTTTGACTTGACCGATTCTGTTCTGTTATGTCACATTTGGTTTTACTCTCTTCCAAAAAAGCAACAAGAACCATGGGAGCAATGAAACCCAAAATGTGTAATAGTCACTGTACAAAAGAGAGGAAAAGAAAGTGCTCTAAACTATATAACTGCATGTATATTTAAATGTATAAGATAGAAAATGATATCACAGAGTTTTATTGGATCATTGAACAGAACTGTTTGCAGTATCATTGTTGGAATGTCCACTCTACAAGCTTTAATTTTGTGACTTAAACAATTATTTCTAAGATGGCAATATGTAATCCATTAACTAGTGATTTCCTACTGCGCATTTTTTTATTCTGTAAATCTGTATAACTTGTACCCCTTCACTGTTTTTTTTTTCTTTCTTTTCTTTTCTCCTTAAATAAAAATTAAAAAAAAAACAAAATTTATACAATTTAAAAAGAAATTAGCATCTTTGATATTGCATAAAAATCTCCCAGAGTGAGATTAAGATTAATTCTGAGTAAATAAAAATGCTGCTTCTATTTGTCTTATTATTACCTAGGTCCTCCTAGGAAAGCAACATGTTGATTTAAAAAAAACCAGTTAGCATTCAAATGTTTTTTCATTCTTTGAAACTGCTATGTGAAAGTAGAAAAACATAGGGAATGATAAACTTGATCATTATCCCCTTACTAGATTTGTAAAGTAAGCAAAAATTAATTCATGGTAAAGCCATAGCTAAGCTGTGTAACATAGGAGAAAAAATACAGGAATGTTTTTGCAACTTAGAGGAAGTTCTTAGCTTTTTTAAGATACAAAAAGCACTAACCATGGAAGAAAAAAAGATAGATTGAAATTCCTCAAATTTAGAATTTTCTGCACATCAGAAGTTATCAGTACAAAAACAAAAGAAAGCAAGCCACAGACTGAGGAAAAGATTTATGACATATCTGACAAGGAATTTATAACCAGAATAATAATAATTCTGTTAATAAAAAGATCACAGCCAGTTTTTTGATGGACCAGAGACTTGGGTAGAACCTTCACTAAAGAACTTGCAGAGTCGGGGAAGCACAGGAATAGGTGCTCAGGTGACCAGCGCGATCTGCTGCACACCTGTGAGCGTGGCTGCGGTTAAGACCGACTCACGCTTGGTGGTGTGCAGCTGGAAGTCCCTTCTGTTGCTGTGCAGCTGCTCAGGGAGCAGGACGGCCACCGTACAAAACAGCAGTTTCTGGTAAGGGTCACATTCCTCTGACCCGTGACTCTAGGATTTACTCGATAGCCAGGATGGTGTATGCCCACAAAAAGACTTACACACAAATATTTATAATGTTGGTCCATAAATAGCCAAGATGGGAAACTACCCAAATGTCCATCAGCAGGTAATCTTCCTGCTTCAGCAGGAAGATTGAGTAGCTGGGATCATAGATGTGTGACACCACACCTGAGTATTCTGTTACTTTGTGTGTGTGTGTCTGTGTGTGTGTGTGCGCGCACGCGTGCTGCTGAGGATTGAACCCAGAACCTTTGCACTGAGCTACATTCTAAGCTTTTTTTTTAAAAGAGTCTTGTTAGAGTCTTGTTAAGTTGCCAGATTGGGCTCAAACTTTGAATTCTCCTCCTTGCAGATTTGTACCACTGCACCTCACTTCTGTTATATTTCTTCTTAAGTACTAATTTTTGACCCATAAAATCTATTTTGTGGCTTATGATAATTTGAAAATCACATCTGTAGACATTGGACGAATCGCTAGAGTTTGGAAAACCAATTAATGCTACAGCTTACCTGTGAAAATATAGCAAGGTGACGTCCATATTGTATTACTTTCATTTTACATAATAATTTTATGAGCACTTTGCCTTCCAGCTCACCAACAAAGCACTAAGTAACAGCAGTCAGTCGGAGCTGGAAAGCCGGCTGCATCAGCTGACCGAGACCCTCATCCAGAAGCAGACCATGCTGGAGAGCCTGAGTACGGAGAAGAACTCGCTGGTCTTCCAGCTAGAGCGCCTCGAGCAGCAGATGAACTCTGCCTCTGCGGGCGCCATCAACGGGCCCTCCATTAATATGTCTGCGGTTGACAGTGGCGAAGGTAACCCACAGCCAGCATGGCAATCTAGCTAGAGTTCGATAAATTACAGAAACAACACTTTTGTTTGAAAAGGAACATCATACAGTGGAAAACCAGATTGTCTTGCCCGTGAGACCTGGGCCGTGTGCTGTTAGCATGATCATTGGTGAGGGGTGATTCCTAACTGTCCCAGAGGCTGGACCTGGAGAAAGCAGGCCTGCGGGTGATAATCACATGGAGATGTCTGAGATATTACACAAGATGATACCGGCAAGGCAGTAACTTAGTAGAGAGGCGCTTGTAGGAAACTTGAAGCAGAATTTCTTAGTGATCTCACAGTGAATGATGACCACAGTAATGCTGGTGTACAATTCACATCCGTGCAGCCGTGCTCTGCCACTCTTAACAGAGAAATCTGTGGATTCTAAGAACATACATTATAAAGGATAGTATGAACATCAATGAGTCATTTTTAATCTTAGAACCAAATAAACTCTACAAATAGTTATTCAGTCTTTGACTTTAAAAAAATCTTTTTAAAAAAAAAGTGTTCAGCCTGGCTTTGAACTTGATATTTCTGCCTCCACCTCCCAAGTGCTGGGATAAAAACATTATTATAAAGAGATATGTGTCACAGATGTGGGGTTGTAATTATACTCTAATTAGGGTGATCCAGGAGATTTCATTGGAAAATGCCATTAAAGTCCCAAGCAGGAGGGGCTGTGAAGAGGCCTAGGGGAGGGTACCAGCAGGGAGACAGGAGTGTGCCTGGGTGTTCGGGCACAGCTGTGAGACTGGTGCGGCAGGAAGAGCGGTGCAGGCTAAGTCTGCAGAGCGAGGAGGCTGTGGGCCGTAGAGGGGATTGCTCTGCAGATCGGAGGTCACTGAAGGGCTTGAGAGGTGCCTGGGCAGACTTGCACTTTACCATGGCGCTCTAGTTGCTGGGGCAAGAGTATCTTCTGTGTGAGGACGTGGTTCAAGAGTCAAACACTTGTCTCGCATGCCCGAGGGCCCAGGCTCACCCCCGGCACCACAAAAGGAAAGTCCAATGCAGAGGGCTCCGAGTAGAGGCAGGGCGTGGGGGAGCCATGTGTGAAGCCATGTGAGAGGTGGCAGTGGTGACCAGAGTGGGCTCTAGGGGTGTTTTGAGGACTTACTTTGAGCTGACAGAATTTTCTGGCAGCCTGGCTATGAAGTTTGAGGGGAAGGAGTGAGGGATTTTGACCAGAGCAGAGGGTGGGGGAGGTAGTCATCACCCTGGGCGGGCGGAGAGAGTGCCAGGAGAGGGAGGTTGGCAGAGAGAGTGAGGAGTCAGAAGCTAGTCGGGTCTGCTGAGTTTTAGACGTTTGCTAGGCCCACACGGGAAGTGCAGAGGCTTCGGAGGAGGCAGGGGTGAGGGGAGGCCGGTGTCAGCCTGTGAAAGCTGCCCCAGGAGTGGGGCGCACTGACACTGGCTCGGCAAGACTGGGCACTTGCAAACACTTGCATTTTTGCTAAGATCACTTTCTTAGTTTTTATTTTTTAAAATGTGCATATGGAAACATAAACATTTTCTATAATGAGTTTATCTGTCTTTATTGTTTCATCTACTTTGAGTGTAATGGTTAGGAAGTTGGCATTGAGAATTTCTTGCATGTGTGGTAATTTGCGACTATAATTGCAGTGTATCTTAAATGTCTCTCTTATTTAAATAGGCACGCGTCTACGAAATGTTCCTGTTCTTTTTAATGACTCAGAAACTAACCTGGCAGGAATGTATGGAAAAGTTCGCAAAGCTGCCAGTTCCATTGACCAGTTTAGGTAAGTGGTGCCGATCAGGACAAGTGACAGACCATCAGCTATTTTTATAATGTCGTGGCTACACACACAGGGTATCCCATGTGGGAAGCTGATATTTAAAGTGACATTTTCGTTATTCCTTGAGTGATATTTCAGTGTCCTGAAATTGGTTCAAGAGGTCTGACAGTGCCTACACTTCACTGATGATTAACTTTGACCATTTTTCTTCTTTTGGCAATAAACTGTTTTAAAAACACTCATTAAATCTAATTGAGAAATCCTCTATCTTATGTGGAAATATCCATCGTGTGTTTTATCAAAGTACTTTATCATATTATTAGAAAAAATGCTACTATAAACTGTTCATTTTAATATTTCATAAATGTATAATAACATGTAGAATTTATGTTACATATTTACATAAGATTTTTGTAATAGAAAATGTTTTAATAGTTTACATATGGCCTTAGTAAAGTTCACATCCAAGTAACCAGTTACGTCCTTTGCTTTTAATGTTTATTAAACACATCTTAATGAATTGTTGCAGTATAGTCTTTTCTTAGCTGTGTCTGAGTAGAGCTATAATACTAATGGTAAGAATGATACACTAAAATTCCTGAAGCCATGGACTAGGATGAGGGGTCTTATCTCCAAATGAACAGTGTATCTCAGGCCTCCATTTGTTCAGTGTACAGTTTTTGTAGAGCCTATGCAATCTGTTCTGCTGGTGCAGTAAAGGAAGCAGGAATTGTGTTTTCTTGCACATGTGTCCGTCCTGGAAGGGAAAGATGTTGCAGGTAGGCCTGAGTGTCCAGGGCTGGCCATCATGCTGTTCCATACCCACCTCTTCAAGTGTCTGCTGGCTTCTCCACAGCTCTGCCCTTTTAGAAGTCTGTATCTGTGCAGAGCTCCCTGAAAGGCTGTGTACAAGTTAATGCCAGACAGACATATTTCCTATACATGTGGCTCGCCACCTCTTTTGTAATTTCTTTAAAGATGATTTAGAGATGGACCAGATTTGCCTCCTTTAGTAACTGTGGCCATAGAATTTCAAGAAATACCTTTTATTGAGGTGTAACAGCCACAGCCAAATATAATGAAGTATTTACTGAGACAGTTCTTTATGACATTTCTGTGATAAATGGTTTTCCTATAAAGAATCATTCTGTGGTGGCCACATAAATAGTTTAAGCGACTAAAATTTTAAAGATATTAATACTAACACAGGCAGATGGTTTGTGAGTGTAATTTTCTTCTCTCTTTCTCCCCCATCCATTTGCACAGTATTCGTCTGGGAATTTTTCTCCGAAGATATCCCATAGCACGAGTGTTTGTAATTATATATATGGTGAGTAAACTTGCATGAAAAAATAATTCTGTGTTTGATTTTTGACTTTTTTTCTTCAGCTGCTGATCTTACTGGTATTTCAGCAAATTTGGAAGAAGATAGAATTCATTTTGATAATTTTTTGTTCTATAATTGCTTTAAAATACAAGTTAACAATTCATTATGTGTAGAATAAAAATTTCTCAAAAGCTCTGCCTACAGATAAAATTAACTTTAATGCTGTTCAATAGTTACCTCCATTTTTAACCTCCTCTATTAATAAAAATGGTACAAAGCAGTTGCTTCTATTTTTATCTTGGGTTATAAAGTTTAGTTATTTTCCTGAGTGTGGTTCACCTTCCGGGAAGGAATCAAGGCTGACCTATTTTCTTCCAGATGTCTTAGCTTTAGTACTGCGGTTGCGGAGGTACAGGCTGCTCCGTCATGCAGGCAGCCCGGTGCCTCTTGGTTACTGAGCTCGCTGAGCTCTGTGTTCATGTGTCACCTCATTATTCACCCATGAGTATGAAGTGGGCCCCACCAGGTTTCACACTCAGTGCACCCTCGGCCTAGCGAGCGTGTGGGTCTCAAAGCAGCTGGGCTGTTTTCTCGAGAAAAAATTAAAACCTGCACAAAGAGGAATTTCTTGGTCTACTAGAGGGGAGAGTTACTCCTCTAAATGAAAGTTTTTAAGAAGAGAATGGGAAGAACGAGAAAAAGGATTCCATCAGAAAGGATATGAAATATCCCCAATGGGCTGACTTTGCAAGTGTCGGAACTGTCAGCCTGATGGGCTGCGCACCACATCCACAGTGACAGGCGCTGAGCAGCGGAGCTTCCCATCCATCCTGTCCCACCCTGAGCAAACTAGAGGAAGCTGATCACTGTGGGCTGTGGACTGCGTCCTAAATTAACCTCTGGGCATATTACTCCCATCAAGAATACTTTCCCAGGGTGTGAGGTGGTGCGCGCCTGTAATCCCAGCACTTGGGAGACTGAGGCAGGAGGCTGTGAGTTCAAGGCCAGCCTGGGCTACATAGTGAACTCAAGGCCCACCTGAACCACATGGTGAAACCCTGTCTTGAAAATAAAAAGTACTTTCCAACTCCTCTTCACCAGCGCCTGGCTGAACTCTCAGAATACCAACCATGAGTATTTGGCAAAGCCTTTCTAGCTACCCTATATCAGTTCTCACCATGCCTGGATTCTGCATACTTGCCTGATGGGTTATCTGTGCACACACGTGCTTACTGTGAGCGTGCTAAAGTTCTCAACTGAGAACTCTGTAGATCTGGCAGCTCTTGGTTACTGAGCTCACTGAGCTCTGTGTTCATGTGTCAGCTCATTATTCATCCAGGAGTATGAAGTGAGTCCCCACCAGGTTTCACACTCAGTGTGCCCTCTGGGGACACAGCCAGAGAAGCCATGGTCGCCACCCTGGGTACATTGCACAGTGGGCCTTCAGGAGAGGTGGACTTGCTGACTAACCCATGAATTGCTTTTTCTTTTTTAGGCTTTGCTTCACCTCTGGGTCATGATCGTTCTGTTGACGTATTCACCGGAAATGCACCGCGACCAGCCATACAGCAGATGAACTGAACCCGTGGTTTCAGTGATTGGTTATCTTTTGGGGGCCTTGGGGTCTGTAGAAAGGCCATTTTCTTAGACCTGCTAAGAAAGGTGCACAGGATTATTTTATCACTACAAGCTTTTAACATTCTAAGTTATTGTATAAATTCTCTGCTAAATCTTCCTCTTCCTTCCTTCAAATGATAGGAGTTTCTAAACAAACAGTAATTTAACAAGCCCACTCTGCGTTTTCTGAGTCCAGTGGTCCTGATACATACAGAGAAAGATATGGGGGTTGTTCACATCTGTACAGATGTTGCTGTATTTTAGGTTATACTGATTATGGGTTATAATCAGGGAAACTAATTGTATTAGTCATAAAAATAAAAAGTTTGCTTTTTTGATAGCACAGTCTGCTTTTATATTTTCCTGTATTTAACTTTACGAATGGAGATTTACTTTTTATATGTTAAAAGCCAGACTGGCGTAAACCTTTTTATATAATACATGAATAAAATTGACTGTTTGTTTTTCCTTTTTAAATGCTGGTTTTTCATCCCCATCAAACAAGAACTTTCCAGGTGGACCTGAGTGAGTGGAGCCAGGAATAACACCGGTCCCTGAGCAGTGATCGCGGAGGCTTGCAGCTGCTCTTGGCGGAAGCCCCGTCTCCCCTCTCCATCCCGTGCCGCCTGCCTTTGGTTCTTGTTCACACGCCACTGTCTTCCTCCACCTCTCCTTTTCTCCAGCCCGCACCTTGGATTCGTGGCAGCGCATCCACCCATAGCCTGCTTGTGGCATTTAGCAAACAAAGCTGTTTGGGCGGCCTGTGCACTTTAGTAACACTGGTGCAAAATACTCTAGACTTTCACTTTGAACTTTTAAGTCCAGTATAATGCCTGCTTGACTCTGCTTTTCATCTTACGTCTGAATTCTTAAGTAGTTCTGTCACTGCGTCCTGGTGGTTTCTTCATATGTGGTTAATACGCATATGTGCATCTGGGGCTTTGTGAGGGTCTAGTCTTTGTGGGGGAGGTTGTCTTTTTATTTTTACTTTTTTCCAGTACTGGGGTTTGAACCCACGGTGCCCCTGCACCAAGATACATCCCCAGTCCATTTATTTGTATACATTTATTTGTATTTCAAGACATGGTCTCTGTAAGTTCCCCAGACTAGGCTCAAACTTAGAACCCTCCTGCTTGAGCCTCCAGAGTGCTGCAATTTCCAGCAAGCAGCACCATGTCCAGCTTCCCGAGTGATGTTCTGACGTAGTCACTTGGTGCCTGACTGAAGACCCGACCAGATCCTATTCCTAGTGATATCTCTGCCTGACTAGCATGTAAACCTATAAATCCTCCAAAAGTTATGGCCCACTATGAGGTATGTGTGTTTCTTATTTTTCATCACAAAAAGTTCATGTTAGGTGTGTTTAGGCTTTTTTTTTTCAACTTACAAATGAAAAAGACAAAAAAATTTACATCATGTAAATGTATTTGGGGTTGACATAGAGGCACAGTACTAAATCTGAGATTTGTGCCTCAGTTCTTCCTCAGTCTGAGTTGTGAAGTCTGGTCTGACCTCAAACAGAAGAATTTCATCTTGTTAATGTATTTTAAAAGTCCTCTCCCTCTTTCTAATTTGGAAACATTTCTGGAAAATGATTAAAACCAGGTTACATAAATAAAATGGAAAACAGCACATGCTTCCTCCCTGTGTAGTCCAGACTTTCTGTCTCTGTGTCCTCCTGGCTTGCGCTGGGATGCCTGTAAAGCTGTTCTTCAGGCCACATGCATTCTTGAGTTTGGAAATAGTTTGACTGTGTCCGGCATTTTTTCCCAGTTATTTCTTTAGTTGAATTTCAGTTTCATTATTGAGCACTAATAAATGGGAACTTTTGAAAGTGTTTCCATTCACTTATCCTCAGATAACATGAAACCTTTTGACCTAATTAAAGGATTTGCACAAGAGCCAAATCTGTGTCCTCCTCAGTCCAATGCATTTATTTAAAAGCATTTCAAATAAACACCTGTGCACATATATATACAGTTCTGATTTGTATTTAGAGGTGTCAGTTGGAAAATGAGATTATTTTTACATGTCTTTTTCTCTAAACCTTATGCTTTGTAAAAACTACAATTCCTATTGCTACAGAACAAAACCTTCAAAGGAAATGCCTGGATTTTGTTAAAATGTGGAAATACACTTAGGCCTGTGCATTTCATAGATGAGGGAGAGGGGTTTATGGGCCAGAAGCCAGCTTTGTCCAAGCCGCTCACCTGTGGGAGGCAGAAGTTACCCAGCTGGGCCTCATGGGGCGCCATCGCCTCACTGCAGGAGACCAGCTGGTGCTGGACGCTGGCCTGGCCTTGGTCTGAATGCAAGGGAAGGAAAGGGCCAGTGAAGCCCAAGAGGAGAGTCAAAAGTGAAGGGCCTGAGAGACAGTGTGCCTGACCCAAGGGGGGATAGCTGAGAAATGTCCCACGGCTGCTCCGCACACGCTGAGAGCAGGCTGTGGAGTGGGGAGGGCAAGAGGCCCAGCGGGGCGAACACAAGGAGCGCGGTGAGCACAAGCAGCGCGTGCTCTGGGGCTGTGGGCCAAGGAGGGGCTTGGACAGTCCCTTATGTCACTGTGTGGAATCCCGTTAGCCTCTGAATCAGCACATGCCCAGGGAGACGCCTTCAAAGTCTGTGCTTGGGAGTCTGCAGATCACCAGTTCACATGCACATGCCGAATGGAAATAACATGTCAAGGCGAAACCAGGCTTCTTTCCTGTTCAACAACTAAGAATATCAGGTCAGTGAATTCAGACATCCCTAACTTCTAAGTCTCTGCACTCAGTTAAATCCTTCTCTTTGTTCAAGTCGGGGACAAATAAGGGTACAGTCCTTCATGTCTGGGACTTGGCCCCCTCCCATCTTTTGACTAACCAACCTTGGTGCAAGTTGCAACCTGGCATTTCTGCTGTTCTTGCTGATATAGACTTGCATGTCTTTGGACATTTCTAATCCTTTGGGAAAGACGTTCTTTAGCCAATATTACATCACCAGGTCCCAGAACAGTGCCTGGCACACAGCCAGCCCCTGATGGGTGCTTACTGATCATCACTGAATGTGCAAATGGGGCAAAACACAAAGGGCATCGGCGGTTCCTGTGGAGCTCCACAGACCTGCACTCAACATCCATCTTGTTCACATAGCTCTCTTGTTTTCTAAAACCATAGCAAAGATAGGCTCACTGGCCCCTATGTTGAGAGCAGTGAGGCAGGAGATCAGGGTGTGGCCTGGCCATCACAGATCCAAGGCACGTTCTAAAGCCATGCGCCTGGGGCCAGAAAGCACTATCCTCACTTCGTAGGAGAACTCAAGCGGATTTTTGACTGGATCACTTAGGCCAGACGTGAGTGTGAGGCCTGAGAGGACAAAAGATGGCCGCCATTAGGCTCCACCACTGTGTCCTTTCTCTTCAGTGGCCTACTTTTCCATGCAGAGTGTACTTTTTCCCTACCTTTAATTGGCCTGCACTCACTCTGCAGAGCTTATTTCCTTTCCTACCTTTCATAAATGGACCAATTCTTTATTCAGCATGACGAGAACCTAGAAAGAATCTCTAGAAGGATCCCACTGCACCCCAGAATTCCAATAATAGTAGTGTGGATTTAGATTGGACTGTTGAGCTGGCTTTCCCAAAAGTGAGAAGCCCTAAGAATTTAAAATACAAACGCAGTGGGTGCTCGGTGATAGAATTCTTGCCTGGCATGCATGAGGCCCTGGGTTCTTTACCTATCAGAGCAAAAAATAAATACAAGAGCAAAAGCTGACCCAAAAATATCACTGGTCATGGATGTTCATTCTGGCTGTTACTTTAAAAAAATACATTTGACTGGGTAGCTTTAAACAAAAGTTTATTTCTCATAATTCTGTAGGCTGAGAAGTCCAAAGTGTTGGTGTCTAGAAAGGGCCTGCTTCTAATTCATGACAGCTTCCTTTCCACGGAACCCCCACGATGTAGGGGGGCAGAGATCTCTCTGCAGCCTCCTGACAGCTCTGCCCTCCGGACCTAATCACCTCTGAATGCCCTCACACTGGCGATTAGCTTTCAACTTCGGGATTTTGTAGAGACACAAAATGCGACCACAGTGAAGACCTTGAGTCATCAGAGAAAATGCAGCAAAGCTGCCTGGACTGTTCCGAAACGGAAGGGCATGTGATGTTGGAGGGGAGAAGGCTTCCAACAGAGCAAGACACGCTGCAAGTAGAACGACTTTTAAAAATATATTAGGAGACACAATGTTAAGAATAACTGTTCAAAGCATAGAGAAATATTCTAAGACCCTCCTGGGCCAGGTGACCTGACTTGCTTTGACAAATGAAATATCAGTGGAAAGATGGCTGCCATTCCCAAGCAGAATGAATATAATGAATTTTATTTAAAATTTTTTTATCACCCTATATTGATCATTTACAGCAATTTCTGTAGAATAAAAACATGTGTTTTCAGTGGCCTTGTTCAGCGGATCTGGCACTGCGTGACTTCTGGCTCTTCCTAAAAGTCAAGATGATCATGAAGGCTAATGTTTTAAATCGATTTAGGACATCAAGGCAGCTATAACAATGCAGCTAAAGACACTCCTGAACTCATGAACTTATGAACTGCTTCAGAAAGTGGCAAGAATAATGGAATAATTGAGGGGGAGGGTTTGGGGAAAATTAATGGTAATGTGTCTTTTGCTGTAATAAACTTTAAACAATCATATTCCAAATTTTAAAATTTTAAACAGTCATATTTTTGCATCGCACTGCGTAGATTCAGGTTTTGAAAGCTCTGCCAAGCAACATCTGGCTGCTAGAATAAGCTGTTCACTAAGAGCAGATCAAGTTTCCCCTCTGCCCCGCTAACCCCGGCTCCTCACATGCTGTGCTTGGGCCACGCAGTGCTGGGTGCACCAAGTTTTGCTCACATAGCAGGGTTTATGCCAGCAAATGTAACAAACCCTGGCGACTGGCTTTAACTCACAAATGAGGCTTAAGAATTGAATCTAAGAATTAATTAAACTTTATAAACACTAAGAGGCAGAAGCAAGGGGATCCCAAGTTCCAGCCCAGAATGGACAACTTAGCAACTTAGTGACTCTGTCTCAAAGTTTAAAAAAAAAAAAACAAAAAACTCTTTTTAAGGGCTGAGGATATAGCTCTATATGAAGGTCCTGGGTTCAATCCTAGTACTGCAAAAAAAAAAAAAAAAAAAGAAAAGAAAAGAAAACAGCCCAATTACAGTCAGGGCCACGATGTACATTTGCAACAGAGACCAGTATCCCCCAAAGGGGTGAATATTAGTTCTTAGGAGGACAAAAATATGTTACTACTCTTACATAGAATTCTCAGATACGCACATACCACAGAGCAGTATACTCGTGGTAATAAGATTTTACTGGGGTCAAGAATAAAATGACAGGTAAAATGATAAGGATAAAGCCTGAGAAGGCCCGGGCTAGATGCTAAGGCAGAGATCTAGCTCCTGCCTGCCCAGAGGCTACATTCTAAAGCTGGAACTGGCCTGGGAAGTCCTACATGACTTGCACACCTCGAGGCTTCTGGCCACTCTGCGTGTTTTATTTCCATCCCCAGTCTCGCCCCCGTAGGAATCCCAGTTGCTCACCGTCCCTTCCTGTGAGGGGATCAGCTTCTTGTCCCTGGAGGCCCTCCTTGGCCACGCGACTCGACTTGCTTTAATCAGTGAAATATTGGCAGAAAAAGCCTCTGCCACTCGCAGGCAGAAGGTTTATCATCTGTGACCTTCCCACCAAGATGATTCCTCCCCCTCTAAGTCCAGCATCCCCGGATCGGGGCTGCTTCCTTGGCCAAGGCCTTGGAGTGAATGAGAAGTAAATGTGCAAGGCTGTGGACCCCCGAGTTTGGGAGATAACCTAGCGTAACTGACTGATGCACCCCGTCCACTGTGCCTGCTTTCCCTTCAGCCCCAGACTCCTCTTCATCCACCGCCACGACCACGTCAGCTTTGATGCTACTTTGTCTGAAATCAGGGGCCCTTTTCTTCTTCTCTGGAGGCTCCCCAAAGGCTAAGCAGGAGACAATCATATGAAGAATAAGGCTCCCTCAAAGTTGTCCACATGCTAATGTCCTAACCCCTGGAACCTTGAGTATGTCACCTTACACGAATGTCACCTTACAAGGCAAAGGGATGCTGAGGATATCGTTAAGGACCACCAAATAAGGACATATTCCAAATTAAGCAGCTGTCCCAACACAGCGTTCTTGAAAGTGGAAGAGGGAAGCAGAGGTCAGAGGACCTTGAATGTGGAGGACGGGGCATAAACTGAAAGAAGCAGGCAGATAGCTCTAGAGCTGGGGATGGCAGGTTCTCCCCAGGGCTGCCAGAAGAAACGCAGCCCTGCGCAGCCTTTGCTCCCACCAGGATACCCACCCCAGACCTCCAATCTCCAGAATGGCCCGAGCGATGGCCCATTGCTCTGTGCCACTAAGTTGGCAGTGATTTCTACAGCAGTGGCAGAACACTCTCTCCCTGGCCTGTCCCCGTGCTTGCAGGGTCGCCCTTCACCGCCAGCACTGCCCTGGACACACTGGTTACGCCCACCTTGCCTGGGCCTTGAGTGGGGCCAGACACTTAGCAAAACCTCGAGGCAGACTTGCAGAATGAACCAACTATTTTCAAAACCAGG